GAATGTCTCTTCTATATTGGTTCATAAAAAGACAAACGATAATAAAAAAATAAATAAATAAATAGATATCCTAAGGGTTAACCTCCACTAGCACTTAGAGGGAGTTTGGGAGGTGAACTACTCACAACCTTCTTACTGATCGAGATCTGAATCTTAGTTTTCTTGATCTGAAATTATTAATAAAAATGTGAGCTACACCAGCCCAGTAAGAATATCACACTAATCATTAGTACGAAAAATTGAATGTTGTAAAAATTAGAAAACAACTAATGGAACCATTACTTTAAGTAAATACATTTAATTTTAAAACTTTTTATTTGATACTTACCGTTACAATTTTTTTTTCAAAATCAACCTATGAAGACAATTAACCAAATAAAATTTTAATTTTATGCATAGGATCAGCAATCTTTCCTTTTTAACCTACTTACTAGAACCCCTGGGGGTCCATAAAGATATCCTTCTACTTGTGGACCTAGTATCAAGATTTGACAAATAATCCGGTTATCCCCATATCTCATCTGGTAATGGGCGTCGAAAACACCATCGCCTTAATATCTCGTGTAACGGCCCCTGAATTTTAAATGAAATGTATGTATTAAAAATCTCAAATGCAGAAGCGTAATAAAAATTTTGATTAACATCCCTTACACAATAACTAAAACGTACTCAAAATATGAAGAAACAAACTAACTAAAAGAGATACTCGAAATAAGAACTATAAATATAATTATGAAGTCTTTAGGTGTCCCCTTCATCTGTTATGAAGGTGAACTATATCTCCCAAAACCTTTCCGGTATAGGACTTCTCAGTCCCGTCTGACTGAGATAATGTCCACGTTAGGGTCCGCTATGTATTGGGTCTGTCCACCATTTCCCAAGATGCGTAGTAAGCTTTCATTTATTTAGATTCTCATCATCCAAACAACCACTAAAACATATTAACGTCTCATTTCATATTCACTTATCAATTTAAACGGCCATTAAGCAAGCGATATAGTTTATCATAACCAATATTCGAGCAACCAGATAACTAAATAAAAAAATATAAGAGGAACCAAATAAACTAAATAATCAAAAAGACCATAGAAACTATCAATTTAAACATGCATAATATAATAGAAAGTAAGTTAGGTAATACAGAAAAATAAACAGAAAATCAGGACAAATGTAAGCTAACTAATTCTGCCTCCACTAGTGACCTATAATATTTGTAGAATTTTTTTAATTTTTCACAAAACACACAATTATCGATTATTAATCTTCAATTTACCGTAACTGAAAATAGGGTGAGGGATCCTTACCCAGATCGATTTTTTGAAATACCATGTTATCTACTACGCCTCCTAACAGGTCCTGAGTTTCCTGAATTTTTTCCGCGAAAATCCAAAATAACTGTCACGTACCTAAAAATACCTTAAAATTCCAAAATCAGTGTTGAAAACCCTTTCTGGCCAATTTTAGGGTTTCGGCATTACGGTGTCGCCGTGCTCCAGTGCTAGGTCCACCGCCACAGTGGCAGTTCATCTCAGTCTGGCTGATTTTGGCCGATTTTATACGTATTTCTACTAACAAATATGCTAGGGGCCCTCGGTTGGCCAGAAAATTACAAGAAACTGAACCTACTAACGAGGGGTCTCCGAGTGCGTAACTTTTGCCAGTTCTCCTTCGCGACTGGGGTTTCTTCTTCGCCTAACCTACAGAGAAAATGACGGTGAACATAATGGTCGAAAAAATGTTTGAAACGGGAAAACAGAAAGGGACTCATCAGAGGGGTTTCAGTCGATGCCCGCAGTTTGACTCATTTGCAATCCTTTTTGCTCTTATATGGTCACAGAGAGACTCAAAATCAAATTCCGAGTAGGAAGGAGAAAACTTTACTTTTTTTAGCGATCAGTGGTGGCTCCAGTGTGGCAGTGGCCGGGGGTTTGTCTCCTTCTCCGACGACTTATTTTTTTTCTCTAGCGAGGGCAGGTGCTGCTACGATTAGGGTTCTCTTGCGATGCGATATTTAAATACCTATCTCACGTCGATCTGAGTCGTCTGTTCGCATCGATGTGGAGTGAAGAGAGTCGTCCGATCATTGTCTGTTTAGGCTGATTACGTGGGCAAATCTGGATTGTTCATCACAATTGATTTTATCCGTCTGATCGCACCTAAAGAAAAAAAACATATGAGCCATCCGTGCGCGCGAGACCTGATCAGGACCGTCGGATCACCAGGTACGTGGATCGCCTGCTTGGCCTCCTGCGTGATGCTGATGTCAGCATGTTTTACCACACGGCGTACTCTGACTTGTCGTGCTGCTGATGTAGCCATCCCACATGGCCGTATTTTTTAAAATTATATTTTTACCCAGTTTTTTAGATTTCTTTTCAAACACACCCTCCCTTATTTACAGTTTCACCCATTTTTTTGGAATTGATTTCAAACTCATTCCCAAATCCATATTTTCCAAAAATTTCATAAGAATAATCATAAAATTATTTTTAATATCTTTTTTTTTCATTAATATCAAATTATCTTGGGCCAAATTTTGGACTTGAGTATTACATTATTTAAATAAATAATTATTACACATAATTAAATTAAATTTTTATATTTGATAAAATAAATAATTATTATTTATATAAAAATAGGGTTTTTGTTTGTGAGGATATAACGAAAATTAAGCATATTTTATTACGGTATAACAGGAAGAAAACTATCAACCTGTTAAATACCGTCAATTTGGTAGTTTTTAAAATTCATCTCAAATTTGTCATTCGGATACCGTCTACTACCATCATATCAAGTTGAAAGTAGAAACAAATAAGATTTTATCATGTCTGTAAAATATCATACATTAATTAACTATCATTTATTCCTAAATAACAGAGTGTAGGTGTCAATTTTAGGAGTGATCATAGAATATAGTTATAAAAAATAAAAAGGCATCTATTATAAATATTTTCTAAAGTATCGCACGGTTCCGTATTTTTAATTTTGTAAATTGTTTTATCAATAAAAGCTCAATAATTAATTATTTTCCATAATAACAAAAATTATTAATCAATTTTTGCTCTCGTCAATACTCGACAAGTTGATCGATAGTCACGGAGTTAAAGGTCTTATTTTGAAGCTTTGTCTGACTTCTGATTTAGAGTAATTTTCCACTCGTGTGATTCAAGGTTGAGCAGTCTAACTTACTTATGGAAACAAACATTACATAACATTTTAAGTCAAATGCATTCAGGTCAATATACAATTATGTAGTTGCAAGATGTAACATATTTATAATTTTGGTGAAACCGTGGCAGAATTACTTCCAAAACAAATAATTGTCGTTAACCTTTTGCAATGAAATATTAAATGTTGATTCTCAGTAATTTTCTAAATAAACAAACTCTTATAATCATCTTCCAGTCAATCTATCACCCCTAGCCATTACATAAATACAGATTAGTTAAAAAAAATTTATATTCTATTTAAATATTACAAATTCAAATCTTATTAAAAATATAAAATTTATTATCTTATATGTATTTTATGTAGGAGTAGTAACTAAACCCATAACATCCGATTATGTTATTAATTCAGTGATGTGTTAGTGAAATTACAGTAATTAATTGTCTGCATTTTGTTAAGTCAGCCGATACAAGTAAATATTTTATGTAATTAATTAATGAATAAATTAATATTAATAATAGTATCCAAGTAAATTATTTCTAATAAAAATTATTAATTTCAGTGAATTAATTATTATTTTTATATACATAGATTAACTATGGTCTATGACTTTTCACCGCAGAGAAATTGCTGGTAAGTCAAATAATAAAAGCTAATATGTGTATCAATAAATATAATCATACAAATCCTGAGAGTTGGAAATAGCTTCTTGAACTTTTCTATTTTTGATAAAGAAAATTAAACAAAAAATAATACCATTATTATTCATATATAAGTAGTTGGACAATGCAAATTAATTAATTAATTAATTACAAAAAAAAAAATTGAAAATATATTGAAAACTGAAGAAAGCTGAGAAACTCATCTGGATATAAAGTTATATAATTGGGAAATTAATTAATTTCTCTGGTGCACTAATAAACCCTTTAGATGATTATCAAGAGGTCAAAAATGAATGTCGGCCTGGACATGAATTGATCGAAACCCAGATGAGCCTGCACCGACAAAGAGTTGAAAAAGGAGAACAAAATTGTACCTGATCGCATATCTTCGATTCTACAAGCAGTAACAAAAAAATCCTCAAGAAAAATCCAGAACGTGGCAGGCTGGTGTAGAAAAATATGTTCTTCAAATCGTCTGAAAAGAATTTTGTTTTGGAAACGAGAGAAGTGGCAATCCATGAAATATCATAAATTGCAGCAAGCTAGTCATCTCCATTGATGTACAAACAGAGAAGCATTGTAGCGCATCGACGAAGAACATAAAGCCTGGCTCTTTGCTCCTTGATCAAAGAAGCACGTTTTCTAGTAAACCCGTGTTGCTGCTGCTTCTTTAATGGAGTATTGAACCTTCTGGTTGCTGGCTTGAGCCGTAGCTGGAAATCCGCCATTTTCGAAGAAAATTTGCAGATAAAGAGGCTGATAGTTGCACCCCTATTATCATGCAATTAAGTGCAGGAGCTGTTGAGGATGATGCGTGTACATGTATATATATTTATAGACACATAAATATAAACATAAGATAATCTATAGAATAAGGAGGAAGACTAGGAAGGGGTTGAAGCTGGGGATTTATGAACATAGACAGCATTGAAATATGCAGTATAGAAGATACGTTATGGGCGCTGAAAGAGAGGAAAAGTTTGTTTAATTTTCAAGTTGGGGAATGAATTGGGTCAGCTTTGGAAATTGAAAAGGATGTTCAGCACGGCTTGCTTGATTTCCAAGATGAGATTGGAACAAAAGATTATGTGGGGATCTGTGGAATGTAATAATTTTATAATATTTCCTCACAGTAAATTAGTAATTCTACAAAATAATTACTTAAGAAAGTATCATTACTAACAATTTCTAGATTATTATGTAACATGACTTCATACACAATTTGTCCTTGTTCCCAATTCATTAAGAATAAACTTGGTAAATTGATAATATACACGTCTTTTTTCTAAAAAAACATATCACAAATAACTGGAGAGGAAATGACAATTCTGAAGAATGCCTGCCAAAATTAGATCTTAAGAGCTTGACAAATTATATATATATATATATATCCAATATTTCAAAGAGGTAAAAGAATAAATACCTATACCCCTGATTTACAAGATCCAGAAGAAGCTCACAAGAATTGTATAAATGTTCATGCAGTATTGACCACTATTTCGTGGGTTGTCAATGAATGCTTGCCTGTGCCAACCTTCTTTGCGCTGAAGCAAAAAGAAACTCATAATCCTGCATGTTCAATTTATTGGAAATTATGCGCGCAATCTGAAGCTTTTCTCTGACCAAAAACAAAAAGCACAGAATCTCTTTGTCTATATTGGAAGCTCAAGAATTTAAATGTTTTGGGTGCATTTAAATGTAATATAAATTATTGATATTTCATTCCAACAGTCGCTTAGTGCCTCTTATGGCTAGCATGAATTGTGATTTCATATGTTGAACCTCTGTATTTTGTTCTAACCCTCTTAATGTCTTCCGGCAGGCACCTCTAGTTATACCGTGTTGGGAATCTAAAGCAGTTGATTGATTTCAATTTGAAATTTGGGAAACAGACTTTTATAGAATGTTGCAGCAGAAAACAAGGCTAATATTAAGAATCTCCCCCAAAAAAAGAAGCTAGTCTCTGTAAGTACCTGTACAATAGCCTGTGCACAAAGCTTCCCTGAGAGAACAGCTCCTTCCATTGAAGCCAAATACTTTTGTTTAGTATAATCACCAGCTAAGTAAAAACCCTCTATAGGAGATCTCTGTACCGGGCGGCAAGGTTCACAACCTGGGACAGTTTTGTAGACAGACCTAAAAAAATATTGGTTAGGCTGGACTCTGGAGTACTAACCGACCAGTGTGTGCATTTCAATGGATCTTTTTTGGTGGAATTTTAATTATTATAGAATGTTAAAATGCTCCCGAACCCAATTAAACACCATAGAACATATTAAAGAGAAATAGCAGGACTAACTTAAAAGTAATGGAATTTCAAACTTTTGCCTCAACAATAGATTTTAAACAACTAGGTCTTGAATACTCCAACGTAAAAAGATTGCAAAATCCAATAGTCAACAAAATCTATGATTTTAGAATCTTATGGAAGAAGAAAAGTAAGCTAATAGCATCAAGAAATGAGAGTTCAAAATTTTATGCACCCACCATTCAAATAGATTTCCCCATTTTGGAAACTATATTACGAGGCTAACCTTGGTGTTTTAACAACATGGTATTTCAATATTTTTGCTTTGCCTTGGTCCGCTGCAATTTCATCAGGAAAAAGTTTTGCAAGTTCCTTCATTGTAGCATCAATAATTTCTGAATCACTGCGTGAAATCCATTCTTCAGCAGGGGCAAAAACTAACTCCAGCATGGATTGATTTGGGTTGTAATATTCCTTCAAAGGGACAAAAGAAATAAGTACCAAAAAGTGGATTCAGTCTTTTGGTAGTGGACTGGAATGAAGATAGTTAGGTTAGCTTCTCTTGCTACCCTAGTGCGGAAATAGGCAAGGGAGATGCATTAATCTATACAAGTAATAGACAAATTTCACAGAGCAAAATATGTTTGATAAATTTCCATTTTCTCATAATGATCTACACAAACAAATTATCTACAATCAATTTATACATGCAATTCCTTTACCTAGTTCTAGCAATCCTTTTAGCGATCAAAATCCAATTGTATTGTTGTTAATAGGAAAAATGTTGGAGACTTTTCAAACCCAAGCTCACATTCTTTTCCTTATTTTTTCTTGTTGGCAAGTTGGTAACCACTAATAAAATCCTTAATTTTTCTTGGTTGAACACAGCCCACACTTGAACTTTGAAAATGAAGCAAGGTGTGCATTCACGATAAATAGCATTTTTTACTCCATTATCAAAATCTATTAGAAACTAGGATATAGCAAGGGAAGAATAATGTCAAGCAAAACACACATAACAGTCAGTTGTTTATTGAAAATCAGGACATCTGCATGGTACAGAGAAAAACATCAAGTTAGCTTTGTTATAATTCCTTTTTTCCGAACATTATGCTAATTAAGGGTATATTCTCTCTGATTCCAGTGAAATACGGAAAATAGGCTGGTATAGCGAAAAGATAGATATCTAACAAAAATAAAGTCAGTTGCATGCAAAACTTGTCTAACTTTCTGAGAGGTAATATGACAGATTAAAAAGACACCGCCAATTTTACCTTACATGTTACAGACATATCAGCATATACACTCAGGAGGGGACTTCTGCAAAGAAAAAGGGAAAATTTTTAAGAGAATAACTAAATATATCAATTTTAATGAGAAGATAATAATAAACTTAAACATAACAACTGTTTATAATATTTATTAACCTGAAAGAGTACAAATAACTAAATCGTCTGTCCTAGAACTGAAACCTTATAACTAAAATAGAGAAACTATTAACCACACGAAATTTGGGCTTTATCTTGAAAAGAGAAGCAGCAGCCGACAATTTCAGTCACCAGCTTTTTCATTATTCCATGCTGATAATGGTGGTAGTGGTTTCAGATTTTTGGAGAAGAATTCTTTCTACAGAGATTGCTAGAACGTGAGTATAGTAATTTTCTGAGTTCCAAAAACTTCCATCAATCTTTCAAACCACCAAAGCTTGAGTTGTAT